CATTTTCGATTTTTTTGCGAATACTATATTATTTACTTATTTCGATTGCCTTTCGGGAAGTTAATAAAAAAATTTCAAGATTAAAGTTTGATGTTGAATAAATTGACATTCTAAATATTCTAAAAATGTCATGAATTATTTAGTTTTAATATTTTTAGTTTTAAAATTAAAAGAAGTTGATAATGTTACTAATTTTGTACTTCTGAAGTCAAAGCAAAGTGGTCGTCCTGGCCTTGTCCGTCCAGAAGTTAATTTGCGTATAATTATAGTATAAATAAATTTATAATTGGCATTATAAAAAATGTAGAAATGTGGAAGTTTCGTCGGAACAAATGTTGTGTCATGCCCCGACTATTTATTTCATATATGTAATATGTGATGATGCGTTCATTCAACTCTTGATGGAAGAAGCCGACGACATCATCGACATCGACTTCTTTGCTATCGGCGGCTTCCGCGCATTTCAATTCATATTAAATACATTTACACAAATACAAATATAAATAAATTTAGTAGAGGAAAAGTATTGAACAATAGACAGAGAGCTAGTCATAATTTTACAACAAACGTTCGAAAAATAATTTTCAACTATGCCTTCGAGCATGTCCGTGACCTGAGTTAAACTCTGACTCGGTTCAGAGAAGAATCTTTAAGGGGCACAACTAGTGTAACCGCCTAAAAAAAGATTATTTTTGGGAATTTATATTAAAAAAAACTACTTTATGAATCATTTCAAAATTTTAGGAATATATTTATACATGTTTTAGGAATACATAGTAAAATTTTTAAAGAAAAAAATTAAATAATTTTTAAGTTATCGTCGATCTCCAACGGCGCGACAAAAAAAGGCCCTTCACTGCTGCAGTGATTCCGGCCTTCTACGTGGATGAAATTTAAAAAAAAAATCTCGTTAAACTAGATAATATTGTCTGTAAAATGAACTACGATAAAGAAAAAAATCAAAAATTGACAAAATGACGGCGTTTTTTTTTTTAAAGTCGAATTTTACCCAAAATTTTGGTCGTGTTGGGCTGCCAAAATTCGATTCTTGATCCGATCAAACAATCGATAGTTCAAATTACGGAGAACTAAATATAGAACATGTAAAAAAATTTGATAGTGATCGGATCATTTGTTTTTGAGTAAAAGATGCAGCAAATTCGGAAAATGCTGTTTCGAGAAAAACGCTTTTAAAGATTAATTGATCGTTATAATATACATTATATATATATACTCTTTAAATGGCTGTGACCCAAAAACTATTTAAGATATCGATTTAAAATTTTGGTATGTTATTTTTAAAGGTATAACCTATCGAAATATGGAAAAACTGAAAATTCGATTTTCTGAAAATTTCACACTAGTTGTGCCCCTTAATTTCCAAAAAATTTTGAATATCGATAAAGAATTTAAAATAATTCGAATTTTAATTTTAAATTCCAGTTAAAGTTCTAAAGCTCACTTTAACTTTGCAATTCAGGTTATATAATTCTTATTAATATTAGACGATACCATACACCACTAGTTACATTTATAATTATTTTAAATTGAATTCATTTGTGTTCAATATTCAGATTTACATTGAAATTGATCGATTAGTTATAAATTATGTTATTTAGTTAGTAACGTTGATAGTCGTTTTTTCCTCAAATTGGATTTTTCATTTAAAAAAAAAGAAAAAAAAATCGAATCTCTCTAAAAACATGAGAAAGGCCAAAAGTGTTGTTTTTATTAGCTCAAGAAATAAATTGTACAACAAATTTTGTATATGTATAAATAAATTTTTCAATGAAGCAAATGTAGAAAACAATAATTGCATTTGAAATAGAAATGCGAAAACTTTTACCATTTTTTGTTAAATTAAACGCAAACACGCAGGTCCAGCTAGTATATATATATATATATATATATATATATATATATATAAATTTGTTTCCATTTAAAATCGTGTCATACTTTTATCTTTTAAATTTAATAGAATTTTAAATTGCTCACAAAACAAATAAAGAATAATTGCAAAACTAACAAAATCCATTTTAAAAGGAATGAACATGAAACGAGGCTTTTATTATTTATCTTTCTAATTTTATATTTTACAGAAGTCACGAATCACTACTAACGATAATATACATACATAGATATATGTATATAAATATGTAGTTATTTTAATATATGCAAAAACCAACGTTATATCATTTTATTAAAATTATTTCTAAAAATAAATATTTTCGTATTTTTTATATTTTAGAGTCCATTCTAAAAATAATGATTCCAAACACAATTTTAATTTAAAACTAGCTGTAAGTGAAATTCTGTCTTAAGGCAATTAAGGCATCGTGCCTTAAGGCAAATTGCTGGAACTTCCCGTACCAAAAATTATTATTTTTTTAAAAGCGATTAGCATTTTTGAAAAAATTTTACTTCGAAAAAATTAGATTTTTGAGAAACTATAAATTTGACAAAAAATTACTTTTTTTGTCGCTCCGTTCTCTTAAAAACTGAGTTACCGTTTTTAGCACTTTTTGCCACGTATCGTCGGAACGGCTAGACCTGCCTTCGCCAAAAACTAATCAGCACGTCTCCTTATCAATACGAATCGAATGTTTTTTGAATTATTCAAATCGCTTCATCCGTGTTCCCAAAATCGTCGACGAAAATTTGTATCCGCACACACATACATACACGCACACACATACATACACGCACACACACACACATATATCCATTTTTTTCTAAGGTATGCCAAAATATTCAGAAACCTCTGAAACGTAAAGATATATAAAAATTTTCATTTTCGATTTTTTTGCGATTACTATAACTTACCCTTCGGGAAGTTAAAAATTTAGTGTTTTAAATAATTTTTAAAAATTATATTACACAAGTTTTTAGTATCTATTTGTTTAGTGTTTAATTTCCATTTAAAAAGATAAAAAACGTTACATTAGTTTCTTCTTTACAATTAATTATTAAAAATAATTAAAAAAAATTATACTAAACAATTTTTATCTATAAATTTGAATTTATTGTTTGAATCAAAACAGATATTTAAGAAGTATATGAGATGTTTAATAATTTTTTTAAATAATATTTAAAGGAAATTAATAAAAGAAGAAAATATTTAGGTTTATTTACAACTAAAGATACTAGTTTATAGTAACAAATAACCATTACAAATAATTCACATATATAGAAATGTTTAGTACAAATATAACAAATTTATGTTATTAACTTGCCGTAGGGTAGTTATAGTAGTGAGCCGAAAATCGAAAATGAAAATTTTGCATTTCTCGACGTTTTGAAGGTTTCTGAACATTTTGGCATACCTTAGAAAAAATGGATGTGTGTGTGGAGACAATTTTTGTCGACGATTTCGGGCGCACGGATCAACCGATTTGAATGGTTTAAAAAACATTCGATTCCTATTAATAGGGAGATGTGCTGATTAGTTTTTGGCAAAGGCAGGTCCAGCCGTTACGGAGATATGGAGCAAAGGGTGCAGAAAATAGAAATCGAGTTTTTGAGAGAACGAATCATCCGATTTGTATGATCCAAAAAACATTCAGTTCGTAATGACGGAGAAAAGTGGTTATTCGTTTTTGGCAAAGGTAGGTCCCGCGGTTTCGGAGATACAGAGCTAAATGTTAAAAAAGTAGCAGTTTTTGAGTGAACTAAGCGTCCGATTTAAATGATTTAAAAAACTTTCTGCTTGTTTCAACAAAATAATTGCTGTTGGAAAAAAAAATATTTCTAATTTCAAAAATATTTTTGTAATTTTGGATTAAAAATTCAAAAAATTACCCAGGCTAAGCACAGTCTAAGCGCCACTCTGGTGCAAATGTTTAGCCAAGTGCGTTTACCCTGTTTATATACTGGAGCAATTTTCCAATTTTGTGAAAACAATTGAAAAATGTGAAAATGCCGCCAAGCTAAGTACAGTATAAGTGAAAATGTCGCACAGAGTTATTTGCAAATGCGTTTAGGCTGTGACTATACGGGAGCACTTTTTCAATTTTGTGTAAATTAGACAACTATTTTTTTTCTGAATTTGAATTCGAAATGAAATGACGATTGTTAATGTTCTGGAGATAAATTGATTTATGATTTACATTTGATTTCCTCAGATATAACAAGATAGCAAAAATAATGAAAGTTACAGTATTTGTAATAATATATTTGAAAACGTTTAAAATTTCTCGAATATTTCATTACGGTACGGGAAGTTCCAGCAATTTGCTTTAGGGCACGATGCCATACACCACTAGTTAATAATTAATTTTGATTGAAATAACAATCATAATATATATATATATATATATATATATATATATATATATAAAGTAGATAAAAATTATATGAGAAAATTTGTTTCAATGATTTTGTAACAATTTAGAATCACTTTCATAGAAATAGACATTTGTCTTGTAAAGACATTTGTCTAGTAATATATTACTATTATGCAAGTAAATAAAAAGTATGAGAATACCTATTTTAAGTGAAAAATTTTCCAAAGAAGTCATATGTCAAATTGAGAGCACCTCACAAATATCTGAGTGTAATTATATATATCACAAAGCATTTAATGGGTTTCAAAATGCAAAAACAAGTTGTACCGATATAAAATCCGACATTTTAACACTTTAAGCACCCACAAACCTCTAGACACATCCAAAATCACCCAAAATCCTTAAAATACAACTCTAACCTCAAACACCACAAAACATATTCCACGGCTCCAAAAAAAGTACAAAACCATATTACCTGGCAATAAAATCCGTCAACGCTTTAAAAAACATGTTATACACCCACTTTTTACCAACGAAAATTCCATTTTAACCACCATTTTGAGGTTATGTCGCACCACCTGTCACCTGTCACACACACGGGGTAGAGCACGCGTTTTATCACACCGCGGTAAATGAACCACACAATAACCGTATCACAATTAAATTCGTATAAATTTTCTAAAATTTTATGAATTTTAATTCCTTTAATTTACATACCGATGACTTCTCTGAGTTCGTAGTCCTCCTTGGTGTTCGGCCACGATTGCGGGATCGCGTTGACGCCGGCCGCCATCTTGCGCGCTAGTAGACTGCCGATGTTGCCGATCGACTGACGGGCGACGCGGGCGCAACTGGACAGCGCTGTAGAAGAGGCGCGTTTCGATGGAATGCAATCTATTAACATTATTCAGAAACTAAAAGTAATGATAATGATGGTAATGGATACACGATTGTATATTTGTTTGTTTGTTTATTAAAATATTGTTGTTTAATGTTTTGTGTTTAGTGTGTGTGGTTTATTACCGATGCGAATGCGAGCGAGGATGAGAACGAAATGGAGAGCGCGCCGGTTTGAATTTGGCGCCGTCGAGTTATCGATATTTGGGGTAAAGTGATTGGTGTGAAGTGAGTAGTTTATTGGTGTGAAGTTTGTGGTTGTTTGAAGTCGTTTGAATTTGAAATCATGCATAAATACATATATAAAGTATAATATATAGGAATGGTTTCAATGCTGCTTCAATTAATGAATTTCTTAATCCAAGATAAATATTAATTGTCATTAGGTTAATCTTAGAGTTGTTCATAAACATAACTGATATTAACATAACTGATATTAGTTTAGTTATATTATAATATAATTGTATTGACTTAAATTGTAAATATTGAATTTGAATAAAGTATCTATCTATCTATCTATATAAATATAACTAGTTGTAAGTGGTATTTTGCCTTGAGGCAAGTTGCATGTACTTACCGATAGGTGTAAATAATCGACTTAATCAATAAAAAACTAAATTAATTTATGAGTGATTGAAAGTATTCCGAGTGCAATTATTACACATAATTGAAAACGAACGAACACGTTAACTCGGAGTATTTTCTCAAAGCAAACTTTCACAAATCAATAATTTTTCTAATTGAACCAGTTTCCGTAGGACTTTAATGTTTTATTAATACCAAGTACTCTAACTATAAATAATAATAAAAATCACAATTTAAAATTGGAAATATTAGATATTTCATTTCATTTTGACAGTTATTAGTTTTAAGAAAACACAACGCTGTAAAATGACAATGGTTCTGGAAACTTTGAGATTAATTGATTTATGATTTACGTTTGATTTGCTTATCGTGTTCATAAAGATACAAAAAGGTCTCAAAAATATTATAAATCACAATTTATCTGCGAAAAATAACGTTCGTCATGAATAATAAGAAAATTGCAGTTTAAAAAATCTACAAAAATCATACACTATTTTAACTATTCATATTTGTCAAAAAAAACTTCTCATTTTCTCAAACTTTGACAAATTTTTAAAATTAAACTACTTGTCGTAAGGCCGTCATATATCAGTAAGTTCTATAAGACCATGATATATATCGCCAAAAAAAGTTCCATAAAAATCGGCTCAAATGTTTGTAATAGTTTTTTATATGAACCAATTTTTTAAATCAAAATTGCGGACACTAAGAACTTCATTATTCCATTATTTGTTATACATTTTATCTATGATATTACATCTTATATTTTTCGATCTATGTTTTTTACGCTTTAGAGCTTTCTATAAAATTTTATTTATTTAATTTCAAAAAATAGCACTTGTTTGTTTATTTTCATAATTTATGTAAATTTACCTATTAATTTTCGAAATGGTCACTTTACCTTAAGGCAAGTTTCATGAACTTTCCGAAATGCGTAATAATTGACTTAATGAACCGAAATTGAGATTTAAATATTTAGATAAAATTTTCAACTACACGATTACATATATCATGTACGTAGTCATTGATATTATTTGATGATTTGAATTAATAACATTTTTTACACAATTAGAGAAGTTTTGTAATTTTTGCGCTGATTTAAAAAAATGGCTTTGAAATTCGTGGAATACAAATTTTGACTCATCATATCACGAAAGCGACTTTTGTCTATCAAATTTTGATGAATTTTTAAAATCAAAGGACTTGTTGTAAGACCGTAATATTTCAGTATGTTCTATAAGACAGACCATGATATCTATCATCAAAAAAAGTTTCATCAAAAAATTTTCTTCTACAGTTAATTACGAAAAAACGGCTTGGCCGATCAATGTCCAAAACTAATCAGCACGATTCTTAAGTAATATCTTTCGAGGAATTTTTAAAATCGATTCAGAATTTCTGGCTAAAACGCTGACGATTTTTTTCACTTTTTTCTTGATTATTAAGAAACGGCTCGGACGATCGTAGCACAAAATTGAGAAATGGTAGTTCTTACTGAGTTACATGGTATGGCTTTTAAATTTTTAAAATCCGTTCAGCAGTTTTTGAGTAAACGTCGATGAAAAGTCTAATTTTGACAAATGCCAAAAAAAACGATACTAATTTTTGCAAACTTTAACAAATTGTTTAAATAAAACGACTTGTCGTAGGGCCGTAATATTTTAGTATGATCTATAAGACTATGGTATCTACCGTCAAAAAAAGTTTCATCAAAATCGTCAAAAAATCTACATTTAGTTATGAAGAAATTGGCTTTTAAATTATTAAAATAAAAACCCAGCTCATATAACATACTTTTTTCTTAAATTCGGTCTCAAACGATTCAAAATTACTTGAAACATCGAGAAAATTAGCAAAACGGATTTTTGAGCAAAAAAAATAACTTCAAGAAGTTACTTATAAATATTATAAATAGTAATTGCAAAAAATCGAAAATGAAAACCTTTGCACTTCTTCACGTTTCAGGGGTTTCTCAACATTTTTGCATACCTTAAAAAAAATGTATGTATGTGTGTGTACGTGTGTATTTTCAATATTTTTTACAACTGCGCAACATATTAATTTACATGTATTTATATCACATTTTTTTCTAAACAAAGCGGCCAGTTGGCAACCGTCCGATTTCGATCTCACAAGTTCATCAATTTATACAATGCCAAATAGAAAACAAATCTTCAATTCGAATCAATCTCCATTTAAACATTCGAGATGAATCTAATAGAATCCAAACTATTTATTATTATTATTATGAATTGATTCGAAAGCGTCCAATAATAAATAAATCACGAGGGCGCCTACAATTTCCTCTTCAATTGAAGTTTAATAAATTTAAATTGAAGCGTTTTATTGTTATTGATTTATGATGTGGGCCTGAATTGATTATATAAAATGGTTTGATGAAAATGTTTTTGGTAGGAAGATGTAATTTAATTTCGAAGTAAATTGTAAATTGATTTAAATAAAAATTTAGAACTTATTTGCCAATGGGTATAAGTAAAGGGTTTGCCATGTAATTTACTCTAAAAAAAATCCGATTCGCTAATTGTATGTTTTCTTCTCAAAGTCTCAAGCCATTCTGAATCGAATGAGACCACAAGTATGTGTGTGTGTATGTGTGTAAATATATTTTTGACCTTTCGTCGACGTTTTCTCAAAAACGGCTGAACCGACTTCAAAAGTTTAAAGCCATTCGATGACGATTTGTGTTTGTCAGTTTTGCGCAAAGATCAGCCTAGCCGTTTCTTTGTAAATAGCAGAAAAGTGAAAAAAAATCAACACGTTTTAGCCCGCAATTCTGAATCTATTTAAAAACATCAAAAACCGTTCGAAAGATATTGGTTGGGAATTGTGCTGATTAGTTTTTGGTAAAGATCGGCCAGGCCGTTTTCTTGTAATAAAGTGTTAAAAATGTTTTTTCAACGATTTTTATTATCTTTTTTCTGACGGTAGATACCATAGTCTTATAGATCATACTAAAATATTACGGCCATACGACAAGTTTAATTCAAAAAAATCGTCAAAGTTTGCAAAAATTAGTATCGTTTTTTATGGCGTTTGTCAAAATTATAACTTTCATCGACGTTTGCTCAAAAACGCCTGAACCGATTTTAAAAATTTAAAAGCCATTCCATGTAATTCAGTAAGAACTACCATTTCTCAATTTTGTGCTACGATCTTCCGAGCCGTTTCTTAGTAATCAAGAAAAAAGTGAATAAAATCGTCAGCGTTTTAACCAAAAATTCTGAATCGATTTCAAAAATTTCTCGAGAGTTATTACTTAAGAATCGTGCTGATTAGTTTTGGACATAGATCGGCCGAGCCGCTTTTTCATAATTAAATATTGAAAATAGATATCATGGTCTTATAGAACATACTGAAATATTACGGTCTTGCAACAAGTCCTTTAATTTTAAAAATTCGTCAAAGTTTGATAGTCAAAATTTGTGTAAAAAGTCGCTTTTGTGATATGATGAGTCAAAATTTGTAGTCCACAAATTTCAAAGCCATTTTTTTGAAGTTAGCACAAAAATAAATCTACAAAATTGTCTAGTTGTATAAAAAATGTTACCATTAATTTAAATCATTAAATAATATCAAGAACTACGTACATGATATATGTAAACGTGCAGTTAACTAATTTTATCTAAATATTTAAATCTCAATTTCGATCGATTAAGTCAATTATTACGCATTTCGGAAAGTTCATGCAACTTGCCTTAAGGTAAAGTGACCATTTTATAAATTCATAGGTAAATTTATATAAATTATGAAAATAAGCGAACAAGCGCTATCTTTTTTTGAAAATTAAATTAATTATGAAGAAATTGAATAAAATTTTATACAAGGCTCAAAAGCAAAAAAAGCATATAGATCGAAAAATATAAGATGTAATATCACAGATAAAATGTATAACAAATGATGGAATAATGAAGTTCATACTGTCCGCAATTTTGATTTAAAAAAATTGGTTTATATAAAAAACTATTACAAGCATTTAAGCCGATTTTTATGGAACTTTTTTTGGCGATATATATCATCAGAACTTACTGAAATATTACGGCCTTACACGACAAGTAGTTTTAAAAATTCATCGAAGTTTGAGAAAATGGATAGTTTTTTTGACATTATTGTTAATATTAAAATTAGAGGGTTTACTTGGTATGACGATAGTAATACTTGATCTTAATGAACATACTGAATCATTAAAGTGTTACGGAAACTGGTTCAATTATAAAAATTGTTGATTTTTGAAAATTTGCTCTTAGAAAATACTCCGAATAAAAGTGTTCGTTCGTTTTCAATTATGTGTAATAAATCCACTCGGAATACTTTTAATCACTCATAATTTAATTTATTTTTTATTGATTAAGTCGATTATTCACACATATCGGAAAGTTCATGTAACTTGCCTCAAGGCTAAATACCAAACCAACTAGTTGTATCTAATATTTCCAATTTTAAATTGTGACTTTTAATATCATTTATAGCCTAAATTGGTATATTAGAATAAATTGGTTCCTTTTTGAATTTGGCTAAAATATTTGATTTGATTTATGCTTTTAAATTGTGATTTTTATTATTTTCATGACTTGTAAGCAAATCAAATTTAAATAATAAATCAATTAATCATTAATCATCATTTTACAGTGTGTTTTCTTAAAATTCATTCAACTGTCAAAATTAATTAAAATTTCTAAAATGGTAATATTTGGAATATGAAATATGATTTTTATTATAGCCTATAACCTCAGTTTCATATAAATGCATGCAGTGACCCAATAAAATTCAAAATCGGTTCAGTACTTTAGGAGAACATTCCGCTCAAACATCGTGACATGTACTTTAAATATAAATATATTTTCATATATTTATATATATATATATATATTTATATATATTTATGTATGATTTAGTAGTTAATTTTGATGTTGAAATATATGAGTGAGTTCTTGAGGGCGATACATCAAACATTACATTTTTACATGCCTCGGTACTAGCAAAGTACAGAAGTCGTGGCAGAAATTACATAATTCTACTTACATTTTTGTTCAATAAATCTATCATTTTTCTGTTTACATCATACAAAAAAATTATATAAAAAATGCATAGTGCTGACAAGTTAGTTGTATAAATGTTAGTGCCAAATCTCTAGTGCTGTGTACACTTCTCTATATGTAACTAACCAACGTAATATCCACTGATGATGACATTAAATTGAATGTCGAAACGTTTGGAAATAAAGATTATTTTTATAAATCTTTGGCTTTTCTTTGTTTGATGTATCGCCCTCAAGAACTCACTCATATTTATGTATATATATTGAAAAATGTATGATTTTTGTGCAAAAAAACGCACCCGATGTCAGCTGCCGGTCACATGTTGCGAATGACTTCTGTCGGAAAACGCCGGCAGAGCCTTGAGGTAGGACTTCGTTCGAGATTTTACTGAAAAAAAAAAACAAACAATAATAATAAGGAGAGAGAGAAATAGATTAAAATCAATAAAATAAAATAAAAGAAGTAAAAATAAACTAAATATGTAAAATCGGAGACAAAATTTGATATTGTAAAACTAAATGAATGATTGTTTTTGTACTTAGTATACCGGAATTTAAGGGGCACAACTAGTGTGAAATTTAAAAAAAAATCGAATTTTGAATTTTTTCATATTTCGATAGATTATACCTTTAAAAATAACATATCAAAATTTTATATCGATATCTTAAATAGTTTCTGAGTTACAGCCATTTAAAGAGTATATATATAGTATATAGTATAACGATCATTTAATCTTTAAACGCGTTTTTTCTCGAAACAGCATTTTCCGAACTTGCTGCAACGATTTCTCAAAAACAAATGATCCGATCACTATCAATTTGTTTTTACATGTTCTATATATAGTTCTCCGTAAAATGAACTATTGATTTTTTTGATCGGATCAAAAATCGAATTTTGGCAGTCCAAAAACGACCAAAATTTTGGGTAAAATTCGACTTTTTTTTAAAAAAACGCCGTCATTTTGTCAATTTTTGATTTTTTTCTTTATCGTAGTTCATTTTACAGACAATATTATCTAGTTTAACGAGATCTTTTTTTTTAAATTTCATCCACGTAGAAGGCTGGAATCACTGCAGCAGTGAAGAGCCTTTTTTTGTCGCGCCTTTGGAGATCGACGATAACTTAAAAAATATTTAATTTTTTTCTCCAAAAATTTTACTATGTATTCTTAAAACATGTATAAATATATTCCTAAAATTTTGAAATGATTGATAAAGTAGTTTTTTTAATATAAATTCCCAAAAATCACCTCTTCTTTAGGCGGTTACACTAGTTGTGCCCCTTAAGGCGATAATGCACCTTGCATAATTTAATTAACCTTACCCCTGTTCTTACATTTTGAAATATTTGGTCTCTATTCTACATAATACGCTTTCTCGCTTAAGACGTCTTTCTAGAACTGTTTTTCGGAATATCATCTTAAAGATTTAATAAAATTATATTCCGAAAAAAGAAGAAATATTCTCTAAAAATCTTTTTTTTGCGTTATGCCGATTTCTCATTCGCAAAATTTCTTACATTGAATTTCTCGCTCGTTCTCAATTGCTTTTGCTCGTTCTATGATTTCTTACTCAAAGTGTTAAATTCTCAATCATTCTTTTAATTTCTGGCCAATTTATTCAAAATCTCACTCACAAAATCATCAAATTCGTCAAACCTTCATTTAACTACTTACTGATTTATTTATTTCTAACTCAATTCAAATTTTTATTAACTTCCCTTAGGGCAAGTTATAGTAATCGCAAAAAAAATCGAAAATGAAAATTTTTATATATCTTCAGGTTTCAGAAGTTTCTGAACATTTTGGCATACCTTAGAAAAAATGGATGTATGTGTGTGTGTGTATGTGTGTGCGGATACAAAATTTCGTCGACGATTTCGGGAACACGGATGAAGCAATTTGAATAATTCAAAAAACATTCGATTCGTATTGATAAGGAGACGTGCTGATTAGTTTTTGGCAAAGGCAGGTCTAGCCGTTCCGAAGATATGGAGCAAAAAGTGCCAAAAACGGTAACTCAGTTTTTAAAAGAACAGAGCGTCCGATTTGAATAATTCACAAAACATTTCACATTTCACAAGATGAACTACTGATCAAATTTTCATGAAGGCAGGTCTAGCGGTTTCGGAGATCTAGTGAAAAAAGTAAAAAAAAATGCCATTTTGCGGTCAAAAATGATCATTAGACATATGCACATTAAATTATCAGATATTTTATAGAGATTTTAACAATAAGTATAAATTTTGTTTACATTTCTATGGGTTCCATACCAATGTTTATCCGTTTGACGGCGACGCGGCGCTTACGCGCTTTTACATTTCGTCTCTATGCAGTTAAAGCAGTACGATTGCTTTGAAAAAAAGTTCAGAATTTCCAAAATATTTCAAATAAAATTATTCTTCAAAAAGTCTCTTTTTTTTCAAAAAAAAGTAAATTTTTGTCAAAAATTTATAGTTTCTCAAATATCTAATTAATGACTCTAAACGTATAAAAGACTTATTTGAAATATATAATATATATATATATATATATATATAGTATGTGTATATATTTTATGTATATTTATTTTAGCGGCTTAATTTAATCCAAGTAACATCAGAAATAGATTTTTTACGATCCGCATTAAAACCCGATATCAGAGAAAATCGAACGAGCATGACGCAAAGTTATCGGAAATTTTTTTTATGTGCGAAAATAATATGAACTGATAGATTTTTTTTGTACAATATTTATAAAACAAGATAAGATTGTATATAAATTGTCA